GAAAACATCGGGTGTTGGTCTAGTTTTTTTATATCTCTTATAGACGATCTTCAACTCTCATAAAACACAAACACGATTTAATTTAATTTAAGATAACCTTGAGGGATTGTCGTTGAATGTCATTAGATGGCTCTTTAAATGCAGATGTGAAGCGCTGTACCTCTCTGCAACTCTATATCGCTTATGGAGTGGTAGAGGGTTGCTTATGCTCTGTAACTCACGGGCTGCGGAGAATGTTCTCCATTTTGTTGCTGAATACACTGAATAAACTACCGAAGCATGAAATTCGTAAACTACACCTTGGAAGTTTTATCCATTCTCCAGAAGGTTATATTTGTTAAGCTTTATATTCATAATTTGCATTTTATATGTATATTTAAAAAAATGCCATGTATGTATATGCAATCCTTGTACCATGATAAATTTTAATGTGTAGAGATTAGTGACCGTTAATCGATATCTGAATAACAATAAATTTTAATGAGCTCTATGTCGTTTATACTTTGGATGTAAGTAAAATCTACTAGACTAAACAATTTTTTTCGTAAATAATAAGGTATTTTATACTCAATTCTATTCCAAGGGGTAAACTTACCAGGGAAAAAATCTAGAAACATTTTCTTTATGCTCGTACTCTACGTTCAAACATTGCAAAATTTACAGTTTTGTTTTAAATCTATACATATAAAAAAAGGCAACATCTTATATCATATTTTCTCAATACTTCTTTACTGGAAGTATGTACATAAATGTTAACACGTGCTTTATTACTTTCATAACATAGATAACTTAGACATTGACCTACTTCCATTCTTTTGTATATAAGAAGAAGCTGGCCTACTTTCAGATATAAAGATTAGATTATTAGTTAATTTTTAATTTTTTTTTTTTTGAATCTAGGAAGAAAGAGTTAAACAATTATTCCATATATGCAATACTTCATAAATGACCGTAATAATTATTTAAATTAATTGTACTTTTTATCTAAGGTCTTGGTTGAGATGAAAACGCTAGTGTAACAATAGCTTAAGTGGTTCAAGCAGTGGCATATTGAGAGGAAGGTAATGGGTTCGTATCCCGCTCATGACAGTAGCTTTTTCTTCTCGATCAAGATCTTAGATAAGAAATACAATTAATTTAAATAGTTAAACAATGAAATGAACTGAGCGTGTCTAGCCAAAGCTCAGTTGTTCAAGTTTCTAAATAGTTTTACTTGCGACAGTTTTCTTGCTGTTTTGGACGTGGTTAAGGTCGCGAAACGAGTGAGGAAACAATACATTTTTCTAATGGGTAGCTGCTTTAACGTTGGAGGAGAAAAATGAAAGTAGAGAAAAAATAAGAAATATTTTTGCACAGCCCATAAAATGTGTACTTACGAGAACATCTAAGCCTTTTTGAAAATGTTTGCTATACCGAAGACTACGTTTCAATAAATGAAAATTGGCTCTCCGTTTGTTTTTCCTCCAGTATTTTTTTCTTTCAGAGTGTGATAGCGTTGCGAGAATTATTTGCATGGGTGACAAAAAAAGTAGCATTTTCCTTATTGCCCCCTGATTCAACTCAGAAGGAGGAAATAATCAGCCAAAAAAAGATGTACATGGATTGGGTAGATAGAGGGAAATTTGGTGATGTAAACATTCCAGAATATTTGCACATCACAGAATGAGTTTTTATGTTTCATATAATTGAAACCTTTTTCAATTTTTGATGTGCAGCTTCAATATTATTTTTCGTTCAATTTATCCACATTTTTCGAGATGTCTATCACTTTTCCTTGTTGCTATTAATGTGATGATCCGATTAAACTAGGATGGTTACAAAGAAAAGTTTATATTTTGCTTTTAGTTGCTGCTTCAACTTTACAAAGGAGCAAAATGCAAAGCAGTGCGAACAATAAGATCAAGGAATAGTGGATAGTAGGAATAAGAATAAACTTTTTAAAGGTAATTGTACAGCACGACAAAATTCGTTATGTATCAGTGAATGAAAGGAAGTTCTTCATTTTCTAATGAACCAAACTGAACGAGTGTCACCGCATCACAATTCGTGCTGTGTCTCCACTTTTTCTTTTTGTCCGCTTTCTATTATGCAAGTGGTTGCATTTTGTCTTTTGGTTGCTGCTGAAGAACCAACGTGTAGTAGGCAAAAGAAAAAACTTTCTAGAACGTTTCAACAAGGAAAAGGATGTTCTCCATTTTTATTACGGTAATATCGAAATTTTCCATAAATTGCCGGACTGAACTATTATTCGAATGAACTGTCTGTCGGTTGGCCAAAGGGAATTGAGGTCCGAAAGTTAAGACCATATAGCGGACGTTCTTTTGGAAAAGTAGAAGAAGAAGAAGAAAATATTTTTTATTCTGAGCTTTCTTGAATGAAGGAAAATGACCAAATTTAGAAGAATTCCAAAATAATTACATAAATTCAGATTTAAATGTTATACCATAAAAATGAATGCAAAATTTACTCGGAAGGGGAAAACTTAACCTCTTTGGTGTTA